ATTATTGAAAGTCTCCTGAAGAGAACCAGAGTTTTCCGATCGAAAAATATTGACTTTCAAGAATTCTATACCATTTCGACGAAAAAATGTATTTTACTTATATAAAAAAAAACATGAAAAACTTTTAGCGCTTTGAGCGACCTCTAAATATTTTTTTTATTTCAAAATAAAAAAATAGGGGTATACTTTTTTCGATACAAAACAATCCTAGGGGTGAGAGCATTACAATTCCGACTTTACTGTTTTTGGACCACCCTAGTGTACAATGACTAAGAGCATGGTTACCCACGAACGTGTACGTAGCGTAGCGTAGAAGTACGTAGAAACATATCAGGGGTATTCTCTGAGTCTTGCAAAGCCCTTGCATGGTGCACAGATTGCACGGATTGCACGGTTAAAACCGGTTTTCGTATGGGACAGCTTTGCAAACCGTGCAATCCGTGCACCGTGCAAGGGCTTTGCAAGACTCAGAGAATACCCCTATCAAGTTTGCTGTTAATAGATAGAGAGAGAAGCAATCTCTACGTCACGATCATGCGGTGGTGAGTTTTTGTTATACACGCAGATCCCATAAGATAGAACGTGTCAGCTGACAAGTTCTCCGTTTTTGCGTCCGTGGGTAACTTTAAGTTAAGTATATTTTGCGTGTGCAATTTTTTCATAGTATTTTTGTAATTAGTATGAGTACATATTTGCACCAATTGTTACGGATCATGGATAAGTACACCAATTTTATTAGTACTCAAACAGGTCTCTGCTACGAGTATGGTCATATACGATATGTCGTATGAGTAACGTTATTTCCTGCTTCTATTCATACAAAAATTATTTTACATTTTCAAACGGTATATGTAAGTAACCTTAATATACAACCCAATATTAAGTTTACGTACTTCGGAGAATTCCAAATGAGAAACCCGAAATTGATTATATTCGAATCAATTACGTGACATAAATTACATGGGCTATCTTACTGCACTAGAAATCGTACCGAGATTTTTCCTGTTTAATGTTCGTGTTATTTTTTTAGATTCTAAGTACTCCAAGCCCCACAAAAATCAAGGCATTGCTAGAAGCTTTGTAAAAAGTATTTGTTTCTCTGATGGACGAACTTCTTACACACGCACAGTGGTCGAAGAGGCCATATTTTAAGCAAAAAATTAGAAGGACTCTTACAATTTTAATAAAACTGTGTTGTTGTTATCACTCAAAATCCGAATATGCCATAAAATTTATAGTTTGACAGTTGAGAGCTGTGAAATCAATTATCAGTTTCTAAACAAATAAGAAAATCCGTTTGAACATGCTACGAAATTAAAATGTTGACAAGAGACAGCTATCTAATGGATTGTAAATTTTCCTAAAACTTTTAAAGTAGTTGAAATCAAATGCAAATTCGTATAAAGTCCACAGTTCATTTCAAAGAAGAAAATCAAATCTTCAAATAGTTGTGGTAGGTAAAAAACTAGTTGAATATTAATATTTAAACTAATTTCTTTTTGTACTGAGCACATACTCATAATATACATACATACGTGTGTAAATAGTATATCTAGCTTACCTTTTAATATCTTTACATCTCTGTGGTGTGTCTTAACAGAGAGAAATATATATATATTTTATTTTTCTGTTTTTACTGATGGAGTTGGGAAATTTTGCGATGAAATGTAATTATTTAACTTTAGATCCACTCATTTAAGTATTGGTTTGTTGCACACATACGTTTTATAACAACGGCATCGAATGGTACCATAGAATATTTTTACAGCCGAAATTATTATATTAGCTTGAATGCATTTAGATTAATGTACATATATATTTTGTTATAAGTTAAGTTTTAGTTATTTTTTTATTATTCCGTTTACGGTTTTTATTGCTAAATGCATCGTGTTATACATAGTTATGCCTGTATTTTATACATTTATGCAAATTGTAATTTCTACATGTACACCCAATTTATTTTGACATTTTAAATAGTTTTAATTCACACACACATATACATATACATACACATATTTTATTATTTGCCCGAAAGTGTTTATTATTCATAGTTTGTGAAATGTCGTTTGTTTTTATTTACATAGAAAACAATGTTTTTGCATTCGTTTAATCTTCCTTTGCATTATTTATGTCGTATTTACTATTATTGACATTGTCAGTGTAATTATATTTGTTTAGTATTTTGCTACATTTAACTTTTTCATTATTTATTTTTTTTTTGTAAATATTTTATTCGTAATTGCTTATTTAATTTCCCATCTTCAGTTTTATCTTGATTAATATTTAGGGTCTGCTTCACTTTTTTTATTAAGTTAGGTTAGTTTTGCCTTATTTTGTTTTATTTTATAATATTATATGCAGGTTTGTGTTTGTTGTAGATATTCAATCAGGTTTACATATATTTTTGGTAGACATTTTGTTGTTTTAAATTCGCTACATTTTCATTGACTTATTTAAGTACATATATTTTACATTGACAACATACAATTAAATACATATAAGTATATGTAAATAGAAATATGTATATTAGGTATATATGCTTAGTATATTTTTAAAACTCATTTAGATGTAAATATATATGCATATATGTTGATTTGTCGGGGGACAATTGATGAGGGTTTTGTTCTGTTGATATTCATATTTGAACAACATTTTATCTTCTTTTCGAAATAACTATAAAAAGACGTTTTTTGTTTAGATATTTTTTAGAGCAACTGCATGTTTTTTTCGCCTTTTTCGACACTCCTCAATTCTTATTCCTTGCTCTAGTTATGCTTCCTCTTTTTCATGTTCAGCTCTCCTTTTTTAAATGTTTAAATTAATATTTTAATTCTACTGGTACCTTTCCAATACTGCTTTTGACTTTTTATTATATGCATTTAATTACTTCCCAGTTTATAACACAATTGTAGTAGGAAAACTACAATAACGCATAAAATCAGCTAAAATGTAAATGACTGCGCTACGTATACGACATGTTGTATCAGTCAACTCATTAAAGGCAAGTATTTGTTTGTTTGGACTTGAAAAACACTGAACCAACTAACTAGTAGTTAATTTTTCAACTGGAAACTGTTTACTAACTTGCTTTTAGTACAATGCATGTGTGCATGTATTTCCGCAATTATACTTGCTTGAGTTTGGTTAACTATTTAGTATGTGGTGATTTTGTTATTTTTCTATTTATTTATTTATTTTTTGTTGAGAATTTGGTTTATTTTATTAGTTATCATTTACAATTATTGCATTTTTTAAAACTTATAAAAATTATTATAAAATGTTTCTAGCATTTTTGTACACAATTTGCCTGCTTTTTTATGGCTGTTTGTTTGGTTATTGAGTTTCAGAATTGATCTGCTTTGAACTTTTATTGAAAACCTAAAAATTGCTTCCGTTAACGAGCGAATGTTTAATAACTTTCTCCCAATGAAAATAAAAGCTGGCATAAGGATTGGCGTTTCGATTGAAAATGTCGTACTAACTGCTTATTGCTGGATGAGAGTGGGAATTCTATGTTGAAAATTGTTGTCTAGCTTGCGTTTGATTTGCAAGTAAACAATTTAATCAAGTGGAATTTCATCTATGAAGATTCAGTTGAACATGTACATATGTATGTGTGCATTTCTTTTATTAAATGAAGTACTTTTTGTTTGGCTGTCAGATTTCGAAAGTTGAATTGTCTTTGAGTTTCCACTCACGCTATCGCTATTGCGGCATATTCTTCTTTTTATCACTCAGTTCTTCTTCATTTTTTTTTGCGTTTTTTGCGTTTGTAGCAGACGCTGCCCAATTCGATGCACTGCAATTCGGCCTCGGTTGACTGCGCACTCATTTGAACATTGCACATTTTCCACTATCTTAAGCTGTTAGTTTCATTCGTATGCGCAACTCTTTACCGTTCATTAATTTCGGAGAAATACAATATTTATGCCTGTCACTTGAAGGCTTGTTGTTTTCCTTCTACTTCTGACAGCGAAAGTTTTTGTGAAAGTTGGTGCGGCAATTTCGATTTTAGAGATGCGATACTTCAGCGTTTTATTTTGTGTATAAAAATGCAACATTTACATATGCGCATATATCAATAATTTAGATCAAACGCTTTTCAACTGTCGTCTTTCTTGTTTTAAAATTTACTTGTTCTTTAAAACACGAAAATTGTAACAATTTTTATCAAAACACTACAATCACTTAATACCTTTTATTTCACTACTACATATACATACATATATTTAATAATCAATGGTTTTTGTATAAAATTTGTCTTTTTTTTGGTTTTTGCAACTCGTGATTGACTTTCCAATGAGTATTTTTTCTGCACTGAATTTTCCCGATTTTTTTTGTTTTTTTTTGGATTAATATTTTCTAATTTCAAATATGTTTATTCATAAATTTCGTATGTCTCTGTAATTCCTCATCACAGCCACTTTTTTGTTCTGACGATGGATCCAATGGTGCACATATGGAGCGCATGTAGCAAACGATTGCTTGTTGTGATGATGTTGCTAGCAACATTGTTGCAGATTGGGCATGGCGTTTAGTTTGTATTTGATGTTTTTGCATATTAGTTTGATATTGCTGATGATGATGATGATGATGATGCTGAGAGTGTTGTTGCTGTTGTTGCTTACGGCTCTGTCTGACAAATGGGGGCATCAATGGCNCTTGTTGTGATGATGTTGCTAGCAACATTGTTGCAGATTGGGCATGGCGTCTAGTTTGTATTTGATGTTTTTGCATATTAGTTTGATATTGTTGATGATGATGATGATGATAATGATGCTGAGAGTGTTGTTGCTGTTGTTGCTTACGGCTCTGTCTGACAAATGGGGGCATCAATGGTACTCGTCGGTCATCGATGGTGATTCTTTTTGATACATTTTGCAATGTGGCTGCGCGCTCGATTGCTGTGGTCAATAATTGCATTTGGATATTCGGTAACAACTAACAATTCGTCGAGGGCCTTTGTTATCCATCTGGGAAATTTCCGGGTCCCAGTTGAAGTTTATCTCACTTGGGCTCACCCATCGTCTGACCAACGACTATGATGATCACAATGAAGACGGCCAGCAGGACCAGTATGCAACAAATGGCGACTGCAACCATGGCGCTGTTACTCATAAAACTGTTGCGCAATAGAAGAATTATTGAAGTTCGAGAATAATGTGGCGTGCGGACGCTAAAATGCTTGAAGAGCTCTCACGAAATGCTACAAGTTTCACACAAGGTTTATACTCAACAATTTAATGGAGTTGAGGGTTTTAGTTTTAATTTAATTTGACGTTTTTAGCTGAACTTTAGTAATGTGTGTGGGTGGGAAATAATTTACTTGCTTTTATTGCGTTACAATTGCGCGATATATAGCCTTAAGGTTTTGCTTTTGTTGTCAGCGTGTGTACGTTTGTATTTGGTAGGTGCTTTATTTTTAGCAGCTGCTATGTGGAGAATGCGTGTGTTGAGCTGTTACTGAATTATAAATAGATTTATAATGTTTTTCTTTTTATGCAGGTGTACGCAACAGTCGGTAATGGTGCTAAGCGAATTTCATTTGGTTGTTGTTGTTTTAGCTTTGATTCGTTCGCTTTGTTNCGTGTGTTGAGCTGTTACTGAATTATAAATAGATTTATAATGTTTTTCTTTTTATGCAGGTGTACGCAACAGTCGGTAATGGTGCTAAGCGAATTTCATTTGGTTGTTGTTGTTTTAGCTTTGATTCGTTTGCTTTGTTGTGGCATTATTTTTTTTAGCACTGGTTGGTTTAAAATGTTGGTGTTTGTTTATGCTGTATTATTCTTCTGTGCACTTTAAGAAAATCTTCCGTTGTTTGCTCCACATCAATTAACTTTTATTTATTTTGCTGTGATTTTCGTTAGTCACGCAAACAAGTTAGAATTATTATTTCTGAGTTACGTTTTGCGAAAAATATTCAAGTGGTATGCGAAAAGCTAAATTNTGTTGGTGTTTGTTTATGCTGTATTATTCTTCTGTGCACTTTAAGAAAATTTTCCGTTGTTTGCTCCACATCAATTAACTTTTATTTATTTTGCTGTGATTTTCGTTAATCACGCAAACAAGTTAGAATTATTATTTCTGAGTTACGTTTTGCGAAAAATATTCAAGTGGTATGCGAAAAGCTAAATTGCTCCACTCTCTTTGTAGAATTGCGACAGAATTCATATGAGACTACTTGACCACAGGCAATAAGTACATTTCGCAAAGCATTTATTTTACGATTGAAATAGATTTTGGACTTCCAGAATTCGGAACTTTTTTAAGGATCTAATCAACAAATACCCGCATTTTGCCTTTGCTTAATTTTTTGGCATTTTTTTTTTTTTTGTTTTGACAGACAATCAATACGAATAATGAAAGGAGATCGAGTGCGCACACAGACTGTGCACGCGATTTTGGTAGAGAATGTGTTCGTAACATAATAGGTAATTTTTCAGCAATATATATATATATATATAACATTGTCCAATGATCCGATCTAAACCAGATTAGTCTGGGACCACCTCTGAGATACTAACTTTCCGATGTAGAGAATTATCGAAATCGGTTGACGTGGGCCAAAGTTATGCAGTAACATACATAAAAATATTGCGACGAACTGATAACCTCCCCCTTTTTTGGAGGTCGGTTAAAAACAACAATTAACATTGCACTAGTAAGCCTGCATGGCGTTAAAACGCCGAAATTTAATTTAACTTAAAAAAAAAAATATATTGTTAATGATTCATCTAAACCATTTCTGATTGACGCATTTTGTCGGGTTTCATATCATCAAATTAAAAATCTACCTGTATCTCCATAAAGTTTTAACTTCAAAAAATAAAACGTTATTGCACATCTATTTAGAATCCGAGTTCTTCAAATGACTTCTCATTTTGGAAATTCGAAATAACGTTGCAGATGTGATGACCTTCAAAAAAATAGATGGCAACCCTAAATAAAAACATCATCAGCCTAAAGTTTTCTTAAAGCTCTTTCATTTGACACTAATATTTCGATATTTCAATTATGTGGCTTGTGTACAAATAAAACAAATTCGACTTGTCAAACAGGCGACAACCCCTTTATCTCTTCGTCTTTTTATAGTCTGACGTTGTTATACATATTTCTATTAACTAATGAATTAAGTTGAATTTGATTTTTTTTTTTTTAATTTTTTTCGAACCAAAATTTACTTAAATATTTTTGGTATGACATTGTTATAGATATTTCAAGTAACTGATGAATTAAGTTGAAATTTATTTTTTAAACACGTGGCAACCCTCCTAAATATAATTCTGAAATAAAGGACTTTAAACCCATTTCCATTGATACCCATCGCTTAGTAATTCATTTAATTTATTAAATAATTTTAGTTTAACCTTTTAAACTGGGGCAACCCTCAAACACATCAAAAATATTCTAAATTGTCAAACTAAGTATTTCTTGAAGCTCTTTCATTTGACATCCATCCTTAATATTTCACATAAATTGAGCACAAAATAATTTAATTCGACTTCTCAAATAGGTGGCAATCTTATTCAAAATATTTCCAAACTACTACCTTCTTAAACCTCTTTTGTCTGACACCCATATAGTGATACCTTATTTACTTACCAAAGTCTTTTAATTAAAATTGAATAACATTTTTTTATACATGTAGCAACCCTTCTACACGTAGTTAAGATATAAAGCCTTTTCAAACCCATTTCGGTTGATACCCATATTGTAACAATTGATTTAACTTATTAAATAATTTGAGTTCTTAATTGGGGACAACTCTTTTTGAAAAAGTAAAACCTTATTGAACATCCGCACCTTAAGTTAAGGATTAAAAAACATACATACGCTCAGATTAGGATATAAACATTGCGCCATCTGTTTCTCAAAAGTTCTGTCCTGTGAGAGAAGGAGACAAAAAGTAAGTATTTTAACCACATTATTCTTCCAGGTGTGACTTATTTTCTTAACAATCATTAACACGAATGTCTATCAAATGCCGAAGCAAATATTTACTCAGCTTTCATCAATAATTCAACACTTCAACCGCCATTAAAATAACCTAAGTCGGGATATTAAGCGCAATTTGTCAAAAACGTTATAAACAAAAAAAAAAAAATACATGCATGGCGTGACACATTTTCGAGGCGGAAACGTGTGGCTGCGTTTGAAGTTGAACGCGCCAGAAGTACACTCAAAAAGACGGTGACATATGGTCAAACCAACTACGACGTCACTTGCGTTCTTTTTTGTCTACTTAAGTCAGCTTTTGCGGCAACACCCACTAATCCAGCACGCACGTGGCTCATACCATAGCCAAGCGCAGATAAAAATATAACATTGCCTTCACACTCACATTATCTTGTCGACCACATTAAGTGTCATACGCACTGTCAGCGGAAGTCAAAATGGTAATATTTATGTATGTGTGTGTGTGTCGTAGTGGTGCCAACATTTGTGGCTAGGCTCTGATAGTAAGCAATAAACATAGCAAAAATACTAGTTAACCTTGGCAAGGGGACCCGTAGATGGCGGAGAGCATATCGCTAGTATGTAGTTGTGTATGTATGTGTAAACTTTGAAAAGGTAGATATGTACATATGTGCTCTACTGATAAATGCCGGGCAATACTGTCGTAAAAATGTTTCATGGAATAGTTGATTTACTATGCCAAAGCAGTCAACTCAAGCATTAATATGTACGAATGTGTCCGTACGCAAATGTTGATAGCTGACATTTGCACAAAAAACACACTCGCTGTACATGTGCGATTTAATGTGACACTAAAATTTCTATGCGAGCGCCTCTTAGTCTGCCATTCTAATTGTTGTTTTCTGCTGCTTTACAAACTTCAGGCACATCCACAAAGCAGGCCTTCAGCCTCACAGTATGCCATAGTTATTGTATTGAGAAGCGCACAGACATGCATTTCCTCACACAAGGCCATTGAGATAAACAATCGACATGATTTGTGAAGTCAATTGCCAGTTGTGTTGTTGAGAGCGAAAACTTCATTAAGTAGCATCACAGTTAGGCTGTTAAATGAAGCGTCGATGATTTAATGGCATAAAATATTGTTGGCTGTGTGACTTCGATATTGACCTATGATATACCAAGATAGGTACAGGCGAATGTCGGCTTCATGATATCAAGGCCTACGGTATACTTAAAGCCTTAAGAACGCATAACTCGTATGCGCGCTATTAACCTCTGCGTGGGTAGGTTATAATGGCAAATAAAAAGTTATTAAGGCATCCGATCCCGCACCATTTTGGGAATATCGGGATTTCGGGATCTTAAATTGGTACTCCCGGGATTTTTGGGATTTTATTACCATTAATTTAAATATGCTAACAAACTAGCTTTGTAGTCTTTTTTTGTAAATTTTTGTTTTCAAGGAAAGGTATATAAATATCGCATTCCAAAACGACGGTGTCCCACCCTCTCGTTTTTTCTCAAACTTTTAGTAAATTTTCTTTAACTTTTCTTTTGATAGGTGTCAAACTGTAGGCACTTGAATTCAGATATCAGTATATTACGAAACTGATGATTTATACAACTTAGTTATATATTTAATTTACACAGAAATTTAAAATTTTCAAATCGTGACTGGTGGTGCAACGAAGACACCCGCTTCTCTGAGTTGTTGGATTCGTTTCCCAATTTTAGACAAACTATAAATATTTCATTCTTAGCAGCTTTTCAACCTTTGAGCACAAATAGTTCGTAAGTAAAATGAACACTCTTGGTTTGATGTGAATATTTATTATATTTTTAATAAAGGCACCTCATTTAAACAATGGGAAACTAGAGAATTTGTGTGTTTCGTTAACAAATACATATTTTGCTGTGACGAGTGGGTTATCCAATAAGCATTTTCTTGAACGCTTATAACTTCTCAACAGTGATCGGACTTAAAAAAATTCTGTGTGGTAGAATCTGGCAAAAAATGTGGTAGATCTCAGGTTTTAGGTCAAACTTTGTACAAAAATTAAAAAAAATTTGCAAGGTTTCACCTAAATTGCAAACTTTTTGATTAGACTCTAAACATTTTTTTTTTTTAGTATAAGTATAATAAAGTGCAAGATTGAAGTTGCTAAAAATTGCGTTGAATTTTGGCACTTTTTTTC